GTGTGTGTGTGTGTGTGTGTGTGTGTGTGTGTGTGTGTGTGTGTGTGAATACTAAAATAAACTACTACTTGTACTAATAGTCCTACTTCTTGGTGTTTCACTTATCGCGGGGCTTCAGGGTGGATCTCCGCGATAAACGAGGGGCTGCTGTATAATAATGTGCATGGCCTAGAATGCAGTTTTCAAGTTGTGCACACAAAAAGACCATCCACAGCTAATTGAGCACTTGGTTGCAAGACTGCATCTGAAAATGTATTTATTTTAAAATCATTTCTGAATCGGCATCTTCTCTCTAACAGCATCAGCCCAGTTAGAAAATAAAAATCAATAGCTTTTATTTTTAATTTTTTAGATAATTTAAAATTGTTCTCAATTTTATTTCATTTTAGAATACAGTGCTGTTTTTTTATTTATTTTTTTTAATAAAATTTGTTCATGAACGCATACCGGAAGCTTAAAGACTTTGGTGGAAATGGTCAGTTTTTCGTTCATTATTTGTGGTTTTTATTCTTGTATTTGTCGCAGAGTGAAACATCGTCTGTGAATAGACGATCTTTAGATAAACCAGACAGCGTGCCTCAAATAGCGAGAGAGAGAGAGAAAGAGAGAGAGACGGGGGAGAGAGAGAGAGAGAGAGAGACGGGGGAGAGAGAGAGGTGGAGAAAAGGCGTTTCCACGTTACAGCAGCAGCCGGCGGTCGGTCACAGCAGCGGACACTCAGAGGAATCACGACCAAAACTCCGACCTTTTGAGTTCTGAGTTATCAACTCCTCTGACAGCTGACCCAGCCCGTGTCCCCTTCACGGACGAGTCTCCCGCTGTTAAAAACACTCTCTTATCCAACAGCTGAAGTCTCAAAAAGTGAACCGAGCCGAGAGGTGGACTTCTGTGCTTCAGACCGACATCTGGCTCCCAGAGGTGTTCTGTGTCAGAGCTTCAGAGGAAACTATCTTCCCCACATCCTCTCTCAGTGTGTGTCTGCAGCTGACTCATTTTGCAGAGCCCGGGGTGAGTACATCTTTTTTTTTTCTACTCCTGTATTCATCCTCCCTCTGTTTCAAATATGTAAACCACCTCCTCCTGTCGGGGATTATTACTTTAAGAGTCAAAATCCTCTCTTTTGATTCAGTCATGCCTCCATGGCTCTGTTCTGTCCGTGCATACCCCTACAGTGGAGGATACTTCACAGCCTGCCTGGAAAAACGAGATTTCTGCCTTGTCTTCACATCAGATGTGTCTGTTGCAAATTGTGTTGTTAGGTGAAATTGGAAAAATTGCCACGAAGTTAACAATATCCCAGTTTGTTGTCTTTTTTTAGTGGAACGTTAGTGATTTTTTTTTTCCATTCTCAAGGGAGCCTTTAACCCAGCAGAGGTTAAGGTAATTGGATTGGGATTAGTGTGGCTGCCAGCATTCATGTATCCAATGTCCTTTATTTCCCCCAGCATCCTCTGTGGTCCTGTTACACAGTCTGGATCCAGTTCTATCACTCCATGTTCCGCAGCAGAAATCTCAATGGGTTGTCATGTTACGTAACAATAACCTGTGATGGACTGTTTTCATGGAAAATTTCGTGAGTGGTTGTAAAGATCTCTTCTGGAGCAGGTTTTCTTGAATGTTCTGATATCGATCCAACGTTCAGTCTGGTGAAACGGGGAAAGACAAACCCCTTGTTGACCAACTGTGACTGTCTGTGAGTGAATGATGGGCGATGTTTTTATGAATGCATGCCCATACGGGAGGGGTAGAAATGAGACTGGAATGCTCTTCCACACCAGTAACTAGCTTTTAAGACCATTCTTGTATGTACCTTTTTCCTTGACTTTTTTTAATCATGATTTCTCAAGCAGTTTCATTAAAAGATAATTTTTATGTTCTGTTTCTGCTTTTAGTTTGTATGAAGACACACCCAAATCTAACCATCCATAACTACAAAACAACAAGTGGTAACAATGGTTTCCCAGAATTGACTCAACTCTGTGTGCTAAAACCAACCCAGATCTAAAATTTCCACTACTTTGTGCCTTTTTCTATTGTCTTTCGTTAGTCTGAATTTGGTTAAATATATTTATACTAAATCCAAACTAGATTCCTGGCATGACCAAGCCCAAAAGCCATGACTGGGACCAAAGCTAGATTATTTAACGTGAGTCAATTCTAATATATACATAAGTGGGCCAACAGAGTCTAAAACTCATAAACCACATTCACTTTATTTTCCTGTATGATCGTCTTCCCAAGTGAGAAATAGAGAACTTTTCATCCATTATTCGTCTTCTGTACCCACTTGTTCTTCTTCAGCATTCGAGGAAGCTGGTACCTGTCCTTATCAGTTATTAAGCAATTGGTCACCAGTCTGTTGCAAGGCTAATTAAAGATGAACAACCATTCGTGCACACATTGACACAGGTGTAATTTAAAGTTGCCAGTTAAAATAAAATGTCTGCATTAAGAATATGGGAGGTAACCGGAGTACCTGGAGAAAACTCATGCTTGTACAGGGAGATCATGAAAACGTCATGCAGAAAATCGTCGGTCCAGTTTCAAAACCAGGACCTTTTACTCCAAGACAATAGTGATGACGCCTGTATTTCACTGGATATTGGTAGTCATCTAGTTGAAGATACAAAATTGTTAGAACATTTGCTTTTTTTCATTTGGAATCACACTGAGTTGGTAATTATGACACAAGGGTTTGTAACTATGACTAACCTGTACCATTTGCAAAACTTACCATCAAATGAATTAAAAATTTGTTGCAGTTTAGTCATACACTGTCTTTATCTTGACTCAAATTGGCCTCATTTCAATTTTTTTTTGTCTCCAATCAGTCACAGTTTGGTTTTGTAAACTGCCCCAAAAAAAAAGTTGTCTCACCTTTCTGATTTACAAACACTGAATTGAGAAAAATTTGAGACTTCCTTGATGGCTTTGTACTATCAAAGTTCATGCGCAATAATCCAGGTAAAAAATCCAACAAAGTTAAGTCAGGTCCTCTGGACCTGACAGAACTCAGAGACTGATCCAGAGATATTGTTTGTAGGCTGACAGACAGTGAGAAGATAATGTAGGTAAGGTCCAGGAGGAAGTTTCCCAGAGGAGTTCTGCTTAGACACAAGAAGACTGGATGTCTCCGAGGCGGAACCATGGAGTCAGCACTAGGAGGCACAAGGAAATACACAAGTTAATTTCTCTCAAGGGCTTAGTTTTTGGTTGTAGCATAATGTTCCAGTGGAGAAGAAGCTCATCAGTAAGGATCTGTATCAGCTGTGGTGGTATGGCTCTGCCCTGCCACTCACAGGAAGTGGTTATAGAAAACACTGGAATTCTACCCTACTCTCAAGAATCACCTCGAGATGATCTAAAATGTTTTTTGGGGGTGTGCCTGATTAAAAAAAGAGATGAGGCTGGGGTCGAGGTTGAAAGACCTGGGGATCCATGATCTCTCTTCAGGACCACATCCATCCCAATCCACCAGATACTATAATTCCTGACCCATATAACATAAATCCAGAATGTGTCGAACCGAGAAGGTAGGATGACTATCGATGAGCCAGGAGGGTGGAGGGTGGTTGGAAGGAAGGACTATATTTCCTACGGGATCAATAAAGTTCTATCTTATCTTATCTTATCTGATACTGGTTTGATCAGTGAAACGTAGAATGTGGGATGGATCCTCATGGAGGGAGGTAGCTTAAGTTTGACAGTGAATGGATTGATGATTTTCACAATAGGGAAAGGACCAATGATTCTAGGAGTGAGTTTCTTAGGTGTATTCTTAATCTTAATGTCCCTGGTGGAGAGCCATACCTTTTGCCTTACGTGTAAGTAGGGGCTAAAGATCTGTGCCTATCTGCAAACCTTTTGTTCTGTTTGGCAGTATGCAGGAGAATCTCCTGGGTCTGCCACAAAACACTGCAGCATTTGCGAAAGTGATGTTGGACTGAGGGGACCAAGATGTCAGAGTCCTGGCTGGGGAAAAGAGGAGGAGAATATCCCAAGGAGTCCAAGGAGAACAAACCAGTAGCTGAAGAAGTGAGAGTTATTTGCTTATTCTAACCAAATTGAGTGCTGACACCAAATGGAGAGATTGTTCTCAATCACGCATATTAAGGCAGCATCCAGATCCTGATATTATCTCTCAGTTTGGCTGTTAGACTGGGTGTGGTAACCTAAAGTAAGGCTAAATGTAGTTCCCAGGGCCTGGCAAAAATATTTTCACACTTGAAAGATGAATTGTGGACCTCTGTCGAAGACTAATAATCTGTCAATGTTGGTGAGTATGACTGTGTTATCTTCTGATACAGGAAATCTGGTGATGAAATATATTGTGGTGTGGGACCAAGGATGACCAGGAGTAGGCAATGGTTTGAGGAGTTTGGCTGGAGGTTGGTTGCTGCTTTTATTCTGGACACAAGTGGAACAGGCTGCAACAAACTCCTTAATATTATTCAATGAGAACCACCAGAAATGTAATTTAATGAAGAGTAGCATGTGATTTATACCAGGTTGGCAGGTGAATTTTGAAGTGCGTACCCAGTCTAAAATCTTACCTCTCACCAGCATATGGATGAAAAGCCTTTCAGGAGGACCAGTGCTGGGATCAGACTCATTTAGTTGGGCCTCTCTGATGTCCTTCTCAGTGGCCCTGGCCATAACTCCCAACATTGCACCAAAGAGGAAGAATATTTTCTTCGGTCTTGGGGAGATCTGAAGAAGAAAACTGATGGGACAGAGCATTAGGTTTGACATTTCCCTAACCGGGTCAATAGCTTATGGTGAAATTTAATCTGGCAAAAAAACAGTGACCAATGAGCTTAACATGAGTTTTGTCTTTTAGCATTTTGAATGTAGGCCAGGTTCTTGTCATCAGTCCATATGATGAAAAGAACCTCAGTTCCTTCTAACCAATGCCTGCACTCTTCGAGAGCTAGTTTAATGGCTGAAAGTTCATAGTTACCCACATCATAGTTTCTTTCTGCCTGAGATACTTGCCAAGAGATAAAGGCACAGGGATGTTGTCTTTAGGAGACCCTTTGGGAGAGGACAGATCCCACTCCAGAGTTCAGATGCATCGACTTCCAAGACAAATTAACATCTGGTATTAGGGTGTGACAAAATGGGTGCAAAAGTAAATAACTCTTTTAACTTACAAAAAGCTGAGTCAGCCTCTGGAGTCCAGCTGAACATTGAAAGAGTAGAGATAAGTTGTGTGAAAGGGGCAGCCTCCGACTGTAATCTCTGATAAAGTGACAGTAAAAGTTAACAAACCCCAGGAAGTCTAAAAAAGTTAAATCTGGTCCTCTGGACATTCAAAAAAACCCAAAACAAAGCAAAACAACAAAAAATGTAGAAACGTTTCATCTCTCGTCCGAGAGACTTCCTCAGTCTGAGGTGCTGTATTCAGCTCAGTCTCTTAAATAGCACCTTCTCAGAGTGGATCAACCAGTTTTGCTGCTGACAACCAAAACCAGCTGATCACATGCTCAAGAAGGACCATCAGCCTAACAATGGATCATTAGCACACTGATGGCTGTTTACTGTTCACAGAGGGCTGAGTGATACTAGCAATCACAGCATTGTAAGAGGGGGACAATTGAACACGTAGGCCTCCACCCCTGTTTAATGATGGACGGTTTCTTTTCACAAAGATGGCCTCCTTTACTCCTCTCTCAAACCATCGTTCCTCTCTATCCAGGATGTGAACATCTTCATCCCTGAAAGAGTGACCGCTGGCCTGGAGATGAGTGTAGACCGCAGAGTCCTGGCCTGATGATGTTGATCTTCTGTGCTGGGCCATCCTTTTGGCCAGTGGCTGTTTTGTTTCCCCGAGCGACCTGGCACCTGCTCACAGTGCCAAAACCACTGGTAAATGGTTTACTGACCATGGTATTACTGTGCTCAATTGGCCTGCCAACTCTCCTGACCTGAACCCCTTAGAGAACCTGTGGGATATTGTGAAGAGAAAGTTGAGAGACGCAAGACCCAACACTCTGGATGAGCTTAAG